AATGGGTTTATATATCTGTGGAATGGCTGGGGTGGGGCAAGGAGCTCTTCCCTGCTGCAGTTAGGTGTGAATGTTTAGCTGATCACCTTCATTAGCATTTGAAGGCCTGCCTGAGCCTGGGAAAATCTGTTGCTGGGAGGTGTTAATCTGTGCCTGGTTTTTTCCTCTCTGTTGTTTAGCTGTTATAATTTTAGAGTTTTTTAATACTGGTAGCCAGATTTTGTTCATTTTCATGGTTTCTCTTCCTTTCTGTTGAAATTGTCCACATGCTTGTGGATTTCAATGGCTTCTCTGTGTAGTCTGACATGGTGGTTGTTGGAGTGGTCCAGCATTTCTGTTCTCAAATAATATGCTGTGTCCAGGCTGGTTCATCAGGTGCTCTGCTATGGCTGACTTCTCTGGTTGAAGTAGTCTTCAGTGCCTTTCATGTTCCTTGATGCGTGTCTGGGCAATGCTGCTGCTGCGTTTGGTGGTCCCTCTGTAGACTTGTCCACAGCTGCATGGTATACGGTAGACTCCTGCAGAGGTGAGAGGATCCCTCTTGTCCTTTGCTGAACGTAGCATTTGTTGGATTTTCTTGGTGGGTTTGTAGATTGTTTGTATGTTGTGTTTCCTCATCAGCTTCCCTATGCGGTCAGTGGTTCCTCTTGATGTATGGCAGGAACACTTTTCCTCTGGGTGGATCTTCATCTTTACTCTCGTGGCTTGTTCTTGGTCTTGCAGCTCTTCTGATGTCTGAGGTGGAGTATCCATTGGCCTGGAGAGCCCAGTTGAGGTGGTTCAGTTCATCTTGGAGGAGGTGGGCTTCGCAGATTCTTTTTGCACTTTGCCATTTTATATATGGGACATCATTTTATAATAATATAATATACATTATATATTATATTATATTACATTATATTATTATAATACTATTATATTATAGTATTGTATATTATATTTTTTATTATATATTATATTACTATATTATTATTATATTATATTATAATTGTATATTATAATATAATATATGTGTAGAGAAGTGTTTATTATAAAGGGTTTAATGTACTGTGTTTAAACTGTATTTATGTTTTACATGCGTGGCCATGGCCTAGCTGTGAGAGATAGGTTGCCATGGTGACAAGGCAGAAGAGAAGGTGGGCGGAGCTTAAGGAGATAAAGGTTTGAAAGTAACAGTTAAGAGTCAGTCAGGAGGTACTTGACACCGGTAAGAATAGCATATATGAGTAAAAATAACTCAATAAATTGTTGGAGAGGGTGTCAAGAACCAGGAACATATATACACATGTGGTGGCAATGTAAATATGTAAATAATTTTTGGGGGATAGTATTTAGAGAAATAGAAACTATAATGAATATAAAACTAGATAAAAGTCCTAGTATAGCATTACTATCACTATATAACGATAAGCATTTGAAAAAGGAGGATAAAGAAGCGATAACAAACTTACTAACTATAGCAAGACTGCTTATAGCAAGGAATTGGAAAAAAGAAATGAATATACAAATAGAGGAGTGGTATAAAGAAGCATGGAAAATAGCAATAAACGATAAATTGACATGTATATTAAAGGTTAAAAAAGGTATATGGAAACAAAGCGATTTTGATGCTGTATGGGGAAGATTTGTGGTAAATGGATTAAAAAATAAGGAAGGAAAATTACCGTCACAAGAAGAAATGAAATTTTGGACAGATGAAATGTAAGAAGGGTGGCTTGAAATGGGTGGAGGGGAGCACTGTGGTGGGAAAAGGGGGGGAAAAAATGAGAAAAAAAGGGGGAGAAATGTTAGAGTAAAATAATAAAATAACATGTTAAAGAGGTTGATGTACAAAATGTAATAGTATGTAATAAAGTGATAAATCAAAAAAAAAAAAAAAAAAAAAGAGTCAGTCAGGAGGATGAGACCCTGAGAAGAGGAGGGAGTCAGTTAGGGCTCTGTGTGGTGAAGCAGTATAAATTCAGTTAGTTCTTAGCATTTGTGAAAATTTCTTCAGCAAGGGAGCTGAAGGTGAAACCTTGTTAGATTGCTTGTGTTAAAAAGAATCTAACAAAGGGGGTTTTAGGGATCCCAGTAGTGAAAGACTGGAGATCGGTGGTTTGATCCGGTATAGGACAAACAGAGTGAATATTCACAACAGGGAACACTGAAATAATAAAGTACTTCACTGAAGAAGGAGTTTAAAGGATTGTAACATCAGAAGCCTGAATGTATCTCTACCAAGCCATATTGTAACCATCAAGCTTGTGCCAAGTTCAACATCTTAGTATTGCAACAATTACGCTCTGTTAACAATAAACTTGTTCTCTCTGTGTTATAAATCTGCCTCCTCCATTGATTTTACATTTGGTGCAATCCACTCTACCAAAGTTGCCTCACAACGCAGATAGGGATAAACAGAGACTTCAATTCCAACGTCTCTATATATATAATGGTGGCGGTGTAATCAAGCAGTTTTGGGACTTCCTTATAATTTATGCTGAAATTAGGTGGATCAACATACATATTTACTTAATTTTGGTAATCCCATTTAGGTGGGATTACGCTTCCTTACAATATGTAATATATTATAATATAATGTAATATATATAATATAATATACAATTATAATATAATAGAATATATCATATATATATTATAATATAATAGAATATATTATATATATTATATATAATAATATAATATAATAATATAATAATAATATAATAATATAATATTATATATATAATATAATATAATATACAATAATATAATATAATAATATTATAATACAATATACAACAATATAATATAATCATATTATAATAATATAATATAATATAATATAATATAATATAATATAATATAATATAATATAATATAATATAATATAATATAGTTGTTGTTTGTTTTATCACACCAACAGTCAACAACAGAGGGAGAGGGAAGCTTCAGAAGTTCCCCCTGTCCCATTTGGAGGGTTTTTTAGCGTATTGCACAATTGCGTCCTCCATTAACGAATCAATTCGTAATTGTTTCGTAATTTCCTAAATTTCGTATATTTTGAACTTTTTTAAAGAAAAATTTCGGAATTCTTTTAAAAAACGAAACACAAAACCCCCCTAAAAACGAATCGAGTTTAGAAACAAATTTTTCCGTGGTTGCCCAGCCCTACGTATATCAGCACACTCCCAGACACACTGTTCAGGAACTACAAAGGAGGGAAAGTTGCACAGTGATACTGTCTTCCGCCTGTTGATTTCAGTTATTTATTTATGCCTTACAATATTTATATCTCTACTAGCGGTCCCCTGCCACGCGTTGCTGTGTCCCAGTCTGTTGATCTGGAAAATAAAGTAATGAGAAAGTATTGGTTTCTAATATATGTCATGTCTTGATGCTTGTGGGTAAACAGTATTTCTTGCTGTTTCTTTGTCAGTGTTGATGTGGAGAGTGTCTGGTTTGCCCACCCTGGAACATGCAAGATATCATTGTCCTTCTTTAAGGGTCCCTTTCAAATCTATGATACTATATCTCTCTGTGTGTGAATCATCTATCTATCTATCTACCTATCTCTATGGCTGGATGGCTCTTTGTCAGGAGGACTTTGATTACGTTTTCTTGCTCTGATGAAGGGAGTTGGATTGGATGGCCTTAAGTCATGGGGGTTCTGTGTGGGAAGTTTGGCCCAATTCTGTCATTGGTGGGGTTCAAAACACTCTTTGATTGTAGGTGAACTATAAATCCCAGTAACTACAATTCCTAAATGTCAAGGTCTATTTCCCCCAAACTCCATCTATATTTACATTTGGGCATTTGGAATACTCATGCCAAATTTGGTCCAGATCCATCATTGTTTGAGTCCATGGTAGTCTCTGGATGTAGGTGAACTCCAACTCCCAAACTCAAGGTCAATGCTTACCAAACCCTTCTAGTGTTTTCTGTTGGTCATGGGAGTCCTGTATGCCCCGGTTGGTTTAATTGTATCATGCTATTTGATTGTAGGTGAACTATAAATCCCAGCAACTACAACTTCCTATCTATCGATCTATCGATCTATCGATCTCTCTCTATCTATCTATCTATCTATCTATCTATCTATCTATCTATCTCTATGGCTGGATGGCTCTTTGTCAGGAGGACTTTGATTACGTTTTCTTGACCTGATGAAGGGATTGGATTGGATGGCCTTAACTAAGTATTTTCTGTTGGTCATGGGGGTTCTGAGTGAGAAGTTTGCCCCGATTCTGTCGTTAGTAAGGTTCAGAATGCTCTTTCATTGTAGGTGAACTGTGATCCCAGTGACTACAACTCGCAAATGTCAAGTTTTATTTTCCCCAAACTCTATCTATGTTCATATTTGGGCATATTGAGTGCTTGTGCCAAGTTTGGTCCAGATCCATCATTGTTTGAGTCCACAGTGCTCTCTGGATGTAGGTGAACTACAACTCCCAAACTCAAGGTCAATGCCCACCAAACCCTTCCAGTATTGTATTGTCGAAGGCTTTCATGGCTGGAATCACTAGATTCTTGTGGGTTTTTTTCGGGATATAGAGCCATGTTCTAGAGGCATTTCTCCTGACGTTTCGCCTGCATCTATGGCAAGCATCCTCAGAGGTCGTGAGGTCACTACCTCTGAGGATGCTTGCCATAGATGCAGGCGAAACGTCAGGAGAAATGCCTCTAGAACATGGCTCTATAGCCCGAAAAAACCCACAAGAACCTTCCAGTATTTTCAGTTGGTTATGGGAGTTCTGTGTGTCACGTTTGGTTCAATTCCATTGTTGGTGGGGTTCAGAATGCTCCTTGATTGTAGGTGAACTATAAATCCCAGCAACTCCAACTCCCAAATGACAAAATCATAATTTTTTGAGTGATGGTCACTCCTTGTGTTGTGAGACGTTTTGTTGCCAAATTTGGTGTGATTTCGTTCATTGGTTCTTTTGTTTTTAAGGTACTCATTATGCACAGAGCATTGTATATATATATAGATTATCTCATGCGCTGCGTTTCTATTTCAGCTGCAGAAGCCAGTCCAAAATGAAGCTTCCTGTCCTTTTGGTCCTTGCGATTTCGACTGTCTTCAGCACAACTGTCAAGCTGGTATCGAAGAGAAATTCAGGTAAGTCCTGGGAAATTTTCTTTGGATGTGTTTTTCACTAAAGCTACTTATTACACATTGAAGACGGGACGTATCCAAGTTTCGTTGCTTTCGGTAGAAGAGTTTTATGGCTTTGGTTCCAAACTGCCTTGCATTGCTTGGGTGATGTTGTGTATTCTGCCATCGAATTTGTCATTATATTTAGCATCATAAACGTATTTTCTGTTCTGTTTATGCTGAAGACTAAAAATAAGGCGATGTTTTAAAAAATCCAGATTATTGAGGTATTGATATATCAGTTTGCTCAGCATAGACATTATTGTCACATTATTGATAGTCATCGTGGATGCAAGGCATATTGGAAATTAAAGTCGGTAGTACTTGAATGCCTTGTTGGTTGGAATGAGTGATTGGTGGGTATTTCGTATACTGCTGAGGTAAAAGGAAAGCTGCAAAGTGGTTGTTTGGTTGTTATTTTGTATACTGCTGTGGTAAAAGGAAAGCTGCAAAGCAATTGTTTGGTTGTTATTTCTTCTACTGCTGAGGTAAAATGAAAGCTGCTCATTGGTTGGTTGTTATTTCCTCTACTGCTGAGATAAATAGTAAGCTGAACAGTGATTGGTTGCTAGAGCTCAGTTTTCATTTCTTATACTGCTGAGGTGAAGTGACAGCTGCTTTGTGATTGGTGGCTATTTCATATACTGCTGAGGTAAAAGGAAAGCTGCAAAGCGATTGTTTGGTTGTTATTTCTTCTACTGCTGAGGTAAAATGAAAGGTACTCAGTGGTTGGTTGTTATTTCCTCTACTGCTGAGATAAACGGTAAGCTGCACAGTGATTGGTTGCTAGAGCTCAGTTTTCATTTCTTATACTGCTTAGGTGAAGTGACAGCTGCTCTGAGATTGGTGGGTATTTCGTATACTGCTGAGGTAAAAGGAAAGCTGCAAAGCGGTTGTTTGGTTGTTATTTCTTCTACTGCTGAGGTAAAATGAAAGCTGCTCAGTGATTGGTTGCTAGAGCTCAGTTTTCATTTCTTATTGCTGAGGTAAAATGAAAGCTAGACTGTGAGTGGTTGCTGTGGGCATCACAGATTCCACTTTCTCTATTTCTGGACTGTCATTTTTATGCTAAATATATATGCGTATTTGAATGCAATGTTGTGTTGAAATTTCATTTTACTATAAAAACATGCGCATATTAGAATGCCATGTTGTGTCGAAATGTCAAGTCAATTGACCCGATTACTTTTTGAGTTTTGCAAGCACATACATACGCAGGCTGAGATTGTATACATGAAGATAGTACTCTTAATTCTTGTCATTCTACTGCTGAGGTAAAATGAAAGCTGCTCAGTGATTGGTTGTTATTTCCTCTACTGCTGAGATAAATGGTAAGCTACACAGTGATTGGTTGCTAGAGCTCAGTTTTCATTTCTTATACTGCTGAGGTAAAATGAAAGCTAGACTGTGAGTGGTTTCTGTGGGCATCACAGATTCCACTTTGTCTATTCCTGGACTGCTAGTTTTATTTGAATGTAACGTTGTGTTGAAATTTCATTTTACTATAAAAAAATGTGCATATTAGAATACAACATTGTGTCAAAATGTCAAGTCAATTGACCAACTAATTTTTGAGTTTTGCGAGCACAAACATACGCAGGCTGAGATTGTATACATGGAGATAATACTCTTAATTCTTGTCATTTCTTCTACTGCTGTGGTAAAATGAAAGCTAGACTGTGAATGGTTGCTGTGGGCATCACAGATTCCACTTTGTCTATTTCCGGACTGCCATTTTTCCACTAAATACACATGTGTATTTGAATGCAATGTTGTGTTGAAATTTCATTTTACTATAAAACAATGTGCATATTAGAATGCAACATTGTGTTGAAATGTCAAGTCAATTGACCGAATTACTTTTTGCGTTTTGCTAGCACAAACATACGCAGGCTGAGATTTTATACATGAAGATAGTACTCTTAATTCTTGTCATTTCTTCTACGGCTGAGGTAAAATGAAAGCTGCTCAGTGATTGGTTATTTCCTCTACTGCTGAGGTAAATGATAAGCTACACAGTGATTGGTTGCTAGAGCTCAGTTTTCATTTCTTATACTGCTGAGGTAAAATGAAAGCTAGACTGTGAGTGGTTTCTGTGGGCATCACAGATTCCACTTTGTCTATTCCTGGACTGCTAGTTTTATTGGAATGTAACGTTGTGTCGAAATTTCATTTTACTATAAAAACATGCACATATTAGAATGCAACATTGTGTCAAAATATCAAGTCAATTGACCCAATTACTTTTTGAGTTTTGCGAGCACAAACATACGCAGGCTGAGATTTTATACATGAAGATAGTACTCTTAATTCTTGTCATTTCTTCTACTGCTGAGGTAAAATGAAAGCTACTCAGTGATTGGTTGTTATTTCCTCTACTGCTGAGGTAAATGGTAATCTGCACAGTGATTGATTACTAGAGCTCAGTTTTCATTTCTTATACTGCTGAGGTGAAGTGACAGCTGCTCTGTGATTGGTGGGTATTTCGTATACTGCTGAGGTAAAAGGAAAGCTGCAAAGCGGTTGTTTGGTTGTTATTTCTTCTACTGCTGAGGTAAATTGAAAGCTGCTCAGTGATTGGTTGCTAGAGCTCAGTTTTAATTTTTTATACTGCTGAGGTAAAATGAAAGCTAGACTGTGAGTGGTTGCTGTGGGCATCACAGACTCCACTTTGTCTATTCCTGGACTACTAGTTTTACGCTAAATACACATGCATATTTGAATGCAACGTTGTGTCGAAATTTCATTTTACTATAAAAACATGCGCATATTAAAATGCAACGTTGTGTCGAAATATCAATTGACCCAATTACTTTTTAAGTTTTGCGAGCAGAAACATACGCAGGGTGAGATTTTATACATGAAGATAGCACTCTTAATTCTTGTCATTTCTTCTACTGCTGAGGTAAAATGAAAGCTAGACTGTGAGTGGTTGCTGTGGGCATCATAGTTTCCACTTTGTCTATTCCCAGACTGCCATTTTTACGACTACTTTTTGAATTTTGCGAGCACAAACATATGCAGGCTGAGATTTTATACATGAAGATAGTACTCTTAATTCTTGTCATTTCTTCTACTGCTGAGGTAAAATGAAAGCTGCTCAGTGGTTGGTTGTTATTTCCTCTACTGCTGAGATAAATGGTAAGCTGCACAGATTCGTTGCTAGAGTTCAGTTTTAATTTCTTATACTGTGTACTCCTATTGAAATATCAGTTTGCTCAGCATAGACATTATTATCACATTATTGATAGTCATAGTGAACGCAAGGCATATTGGAAATTAAAGTTCGATAGTACTTGAATGCCTTATCGGTTGGAATCAGTGGTAAGTCAAATACAGTTCAGCTTTCATTTCTTATACTGCTGAGGTGAAGTGACAGCTGCTCTGTGATTGGTGGCTATTTCGTATACTGCTGAGGTAAAAGGAAAGCTGCAAAGCGGTTGTTTGGTTGTTATTTCTTCTACTGCTGAAAGCTGCTCAGTGGTTGGTTGCTATTTCCTCTACTGCTAAGATAAATGGTAAGCTGCACAGTGATTGATTACTAGAGCTCAGTTTTCATTTCTTATACTGCTGAGGTAAAATGAAAGCTAGACTGTGAGTGGTTGCTGTGGGCATCACAGATTCCACTTTGCCTATTCCTGGACTACCAGTTTTACTCTAAATACACACATGTATTTGAATGTAACGTTGTGTTGAAATTTCATTTTACTATAAAAATGCGCATATTAGAATGCAACGTCGTGTCAAAATGTCAAGTCAATTGACCGACTACTTTTTGAGTTTTGCGAGCACAAACATACGCGGGCTGAGATTTTATACATGAAGATAGTACTCTTAATTCATGTTACTATTAAGTTTAACGAATATGTTAAAAGTTTTGATTAAAGTTTATTACCTCAGAGAAACATGGGGAAAAGATGGTGAACAAAGTTTGAATGTATCATTATGGAAAGAAAAATAGGATAGGTGCATTTTGAAAAACATAGCTGTAAGGATCAAAGAAAACTATTATACTTACTTACTTACTTATTTAAGCGATCTCTCGTAGTCCGAGTAGGATTGTCTTCCAAGATGGTGTCCTGGCGGTGGGTCTGTAGGTGGCTGTGGAGCCCTATTCTTGATCTGCATCTTTTCCTCCAGCGAGGGCATCAGTTTCCAGGTGGAATGTGGTCCCGGTTGGGATTGGCTTGACACACCTTCCTCTTGGCACGTTTTTCTCTTTTGCCCTCTATTCGTGCCTCTTCAAATTCTACAGCACTGCTGGTCACAGCTGACCTCCAGCTGGAGCGCTCAAGGGCCAGGGCTTCCCAGTTCTCAGTGTCTATGCCAGAGTTCTTAAAGTTGGCTTTGAGCCCATCTTTCAATCTCTTTTCCTGCCCATCAACATTCCGTTGGTGGAGTAGAGTTCGGAGTGAGTTCGGAGTAGAGCAACCGCTTTGGGAGACGGTGGTCCAGCATCCGGACAATATGGCCAGTCCAGTGGAGTTGATAGCGGAGGACCATTGCTTCAGTGCTGGTGGTCTTTGCTTCTTCCAGCCTGCTGATATTTGTCCGCCTGTCTTCCCATTAGATTTGCAGGATTTTTCAGAGGCAGTGCTGATGAAATCGTTCTAGGAGTTGCGTATGTGTTGTAGTAGAGTGTGCTGATCAAGCTACAACTGGTAGTAGAAGGGGTAAGAGGGCTGCTCAGGTGTTGGAGCAAGAGCAGCAACGGAAACGAAGTAGGGAGATATTCATGACACCTACAGATACTGATTCGTTTGAAGGTTTCTCAGATTCTGAAATGGAGGAGGAGGGAGATGGGGGCAGAGGTTTGAAGCAGGTTACTCGGGAGCAAGAGTCATGAAGAACGGGAAAGGAAGCGGATCTGTGAAATACTTAAGGCTCCAACTGAGGAGGAAGACTTTATGGGATTCAGGGGGAGTGATAGCGAAGAGGAGGATGGGCTGGATTGGACCCGTGTG